GCCCCATGAATGTATTTTCTCTATGAGACTTGATGATAAATTACGTAAATTATTGCGGCTGCAATTGGGATTGTTTATGTTGGCACTACATTGCACCCTTTTAATAATCAATTCAGCAGATTTTTCCATTGTTGTATATATAAACACTTTTTCGTTTCAACAACTATGCAGCACTACACTTTCAACAACTATGCACTACAGCAACTATGAGCATTGTTGTGATATCACCAAACTTAAATATTAGATTATGTCGGTAGAAACAGACTGCGGTGCTTTAAGTTTATACCTTATATCTCTCATGTGACTACCTGCGTTGTTATATAACTGCTATATAGCAGGTAACTTAACGATTATTTTAGGAATGCCTTAAATAATCGTTAAGTTACCTGCGCTATTATATGTATTCACTTGAGAGATGAGGTATATATGCATATTGCTTACTAATGGACACACCTAATACATAAAAATAAATGAATGATTATTTTTCTAATTAAATTAATCACAAATACATGAATTGAAATCTTTTCATGAATAAAACATACTAAGTGATTTTTACTTAGTTTACCTGTTGATTTGGAACAATTTGAGGGTGGTTTTATAGAAGTTGGATAGAGTGTATGCATATATTATAATACAATCCATCACAGGAAAGTGCAAACCATGCTGAGATGGCTGTTCCTCATAAGAACGTTTTGTTCTGAACTCTTATTGGACGATTTGCAGGTAACTTCTCTGTACCCTTTTCAAATGTTAGGCTAGATTTCGCCCAGATTATCGAAAAGTATACCCATAAAGTTTAATCGAATTTTAATAAGGTTGTGCGCGTATTACTATTCGACTTTGAGTGAAACACGCTAAAAAAAAATTAACATGAAAAAGTTGTTGTTCGAACAACTTTTTTTCCTTAAAAGCGCCCACTTTGCGATGTATGAAGAAAATTTAGGTAATTATATTGCCTTTCATGAGAAAAAATATCAAGCAAATCTGAGGGGTACCATTTTTGGGAAAATGACTTTTAATTTTTAAATATATTTTTTAGAGTGTAGAAACCGATTTTTTATTTTATTTAAATTTTTTTATAAAATTTCAGATTATTTGCTAAAAGTTCGCCATACATCACTTTTTTGTAGGGCTTGTCATTTTTAAGCTATATCGATTTGAAAAAAAAATCGACAAAAAACTTTGACCCTTATCAAATGTTAGGCGAGATAAATTTTGAAAAAAATAAGTACGCAAAGTTGCTTAAAATTGCTAAGTCTCCACACCCACAAAGTTCCATAAGGTTCTGAGAGGGTGCTGCCAACCACTGGATGAGTTGGCGTGAAATCCGTCCCAGGCTTCTATTGTAGAAAATCGTAACTGATAGATCTTGGGCCGAACGCTTCGGAGTGTTTAGAAAAATAGGGCGCACGCTTGATTCAGTTTTGGATACATTATTGACTGCTTTCGAGAACGTAATTTAATTTGAATTTCTTGTTTAATCAGGGCTTGATGATAATATGAACAATGCGTATAGAGCAAATTGAAACATTGAACGTCACGTGAAAGTGAAAGCTACGGTGCAAAAAACGCGGTCCCAGGTCTTTTCATAATAAAGTTTGGGGTTTGGGTTTGAATAGTTACAACATCTCGAGTACCGGTATGATTTTATATGAGGGGCTCGGTGGCCTTAGAGTGACCGTTTTTGCTTACTGAGCAGAACATCATGAGTATAATTCTCCACAATCGTTTTATTTGTTAATATGCATCAATTCTTAGAAAAGAAAGTTTGTTTGGGCTTGTTTTGCATGTATAACTTTTCCAAGTTCCTCATTTCTTCATTGTGAAAGTTGGTCACGCCATGATCCACCTTTAGCCGCTGACTTGCTCCTGCTTGCTGTAGGACCAAGTGCTACGCCGTCCGAAGCGGTAATGAGCAGAGGCAGGAAAGCAGCGCTGTTTTATTTCTTTTCAGGTTCAAGCAGAACGATGTACAGCCAAATGGTACTCGATTATGACGATTGGGTTTGGGAAAATTGTTTATTTTATGAAAACAGAGATAAAATTATCATTTGTGCATTTTTCGAATTTTTTTTATGGAAAATTGAAAAAAATATTATAAATATTCTAGCAGATTTGTAATGTAATATCCTATCGATTGTCGTATTTGGATTTTATTTTTATCTATAAATGACAAAATTACAAGCGTTCAAAACCTAACACTATTTCACCAAACATATTTTTTTATTTGCACCTCAGTATAGTCGTCAAAGAAGTAGTTGTACGTTAAAATAACATTTTGCCTACGGGATTTTTCAGTGGACATTTGCAGAGTCGTCGTCAACGCAAATGGTTTCACCAATATCAAAAGAAAGTTATCAAATAAATTTCGTAAGCCATAATTAGGAACAAGCATCAAACTTACGTCCCTAATTTTCAATACCGATTCGATCCAATCGATGGCACACCGAAAATCTTCTGTAACTTTTGAACCGTATGAGTAAAAAACCTAAAAAATTGAGTAAATCTTAATCATAATGTCAAGTTTCATAGTTATTAGTTCTAATTGGCGTTGACGGCGACTCTGTAGCTCTTTACTCCTATGAGAAAATCCATAAGCAAACGTCAGACTGTGCGTGAAACATGGCGGACTTTGTACTATCCATTCACTCCATCGAAAATTCCCATAAGAAACTGTCTAAATTTGCTGGAAGAGCAAATTTTTCGACGGTGCCGTCAACGCCAATCATGCCGTCCAAACAAGAAATTGTCCGTGAAAAATTTTTGTGCACTTACAATCAAAATCCAGAGGCCATGCTTGGCATACACAGTTTTGGTCACGAACTGCTCATTTGCCAATCACTTTTCATAGAGTTGACGAAATTTAGTTCTTTTTGAATCAGTTTAAAGAATATAGTTTAAGCTTGTTATGATTTTAATTCTAGTAATAAACTGTATTTGAATTTGCGTTGCAAATTTGAAGCGAGAAATGTTCGCTGCACATCTCAGACTTTGAGTGTACAAATTCATTGGTCTTGATTCAAATGTTAAGATTTATCTACTCTTTGCATGCCTATCATACAATTATCCTAATCTATCAATAACTTTAAAGAAAAATAAATTTCAACAACTGAGTGAAAAGTTATTAACAAATGAGCAGCTGGTGTGTACAACTGTGCATGCTTAGCATGCCAGAGGCGTCCCACCGATGGATCGCTAAAAAACTTGGAATTGCAAATACAACTGTGTCTCGTGTGATAAGAACCTTCAAGGAGCATGGTCGTAAAAGTGGTCCAATGGACAGAAAAATTACCTATAAGGTTGTGCAACAGTTCAAGAACCGTCCAAACATGTCAATTCGAGATGTCGCTAAAAAGTACAAGGTGTCAGTCGGTTTTGTGCAGAAAACCATGAAGCGTGCTGGGTTACATGTTTAAAAGGTGTAACGGAATGAAAAGCAAAACATCACTGCGAAAACCCGCGCCCGGAAACTTTACACGAAGTTGCGTACCAAATCGTGTTGCATCGTGATGGATGACGAAACTTACACGGTAAAAAATGTTCATGTAAAGTGATTTGGTGTTGAATTTGCAATACTTGCCAAACATTGCAAATCGATGTGAAAATCCCTTGGAAGAGATCATATCGCAGCACGATTAAATCAACAGCAAATCATTTCATTTTAGATTGTAATGCACATCGTTGTTGATGTGCTGTCCTTTGAACTCGAAATGTCAAGCATACTGATATTAAAAATCAATCACCTAATTTATCCTTGGGTTTCATGTTTGCTGAATATGGATTTAAATATTATATTGCCTTGTTCATACTGCAAGCCTTGTTATGTGTTATTCAGAATATGACCATAGAACATATATCATATTACTACCCAGATCACATGTAGGTGTGTTGTAGAAGTAACATTGAGCAATCAATTTGATAATTTTGACAATGTTTTGTAATAGAACTTATCTGAATAATATATTTTTTAAATTCTTTATTTAAGAGATTTTTAGCCGAAGGCTAGTTCATCTCTACAATCTGAATAATACACTATTATTGAATACAACAACAATTTCGTAACACGCGTGCTCTAGAATGCAAATTATTTCGGGTGAAAATGGAGAATTATCACTTTCTTGCTCTTAGTTAATTTGTTGTTAACTTGCCATCTTCGCGAGTAATGTTTGGCATGTGCGTTTTTGATATTTGCTTCCAAAAGCAAAACTAATCAAATTCAATGGATGAAAACAGTGGTGCCAATTCAAATGATAATCATTTTGATTTAAAGGTGTTATACAATACATATTTTGCAACAACAAATCACTTTGTTTCAAAACGCAAATCACTTGAAAATCAATGATAAATCACTTCGATTCGTAGTGCCGCAGGACAGACTGAGAAGAGTGCCTTAAGAAGCGTCTCTTGCCATTCATAAGGAATTTCAAATGATTCACTCTGTTTTGGCCTGATCTAGCATTCTGCCACTACACTCGAAACGTGTTGGAGTGGTACCGAGTCAATGGAGTCAATTTCGTGCCAAAAGATATGAACCCACCAAATTCACCGGAATTTTGCCCAAATAAAAAAAAATCAGGGCTATTATGAAGACGTAACTTGACGAACATTCCAAAACTATTACAGAAAATTTGTGTAAAAACAACAAAAACACTCGGAAAATTGGTTGTATCAAATTTGTTGGGTGGAGTGAAAAAGAAAGTGCGGGAATTCGTGATGGGAGACCAAATTTAATAAAAAAAATAAAATTGTAAATCATAACTCATTAGTAGTTTTTCATTCCCTGAAAATTTCAAGAAAATCCGATTTATCCGATTTAATTTTGGTGTATTCCATTTTTATCGAATACACCCTTTATGTTGTTCACAGATCTTCGATTTTCTCTAAATAAATTCGGTACCGACTTGAAACTTAATTTTATTATTTTCAGCCCACAGTTCATACGTACTCATGATACAACTGATCCTTTAACTGAAAATATCCTTTCTCTTTCTCGTTCACAGGCACATATTTTAACTGCATCATGTTTATGGTTGCATCATCCGTTGTTTCAACAATTTTAATTTTAAATTATCATCATAGAAATGCGGACACACACGAAATGTCTGATTGGGTGAGTATACCCAACGTCCCGATGCCATTCTGTCGTTTGTTATTGTGCGTTTGTACGAACGAACTAACTAACTAACCATCATCGTCATCATCCGGTGGTCCATGGCTACCTACCACCAGTAGGTTGTCAGTAGAATCACCATTTTAATGAATACTTATGACCAACTGCCAGCTGCTGAGGTAACCAGGACGGTTCGTATTCAAAAGTCAGCATGTGGAAAACCTGTCAGTCTCAGCGCATTCCAAAATGAAAGTCTCTTTTGCATTTTCGACTGGTGTTGTCCCAGTTCCAGCTCAGCCATAGACGTAGAGGAAAAAGGAAACGACTTCCAACGCAACAACAATGACAACAACGAACGACTAGGTTAGGTTTTGGGAACGGCACGCTGATTGTGATGATGAATAGGATGGTCTTTATTGAGATTCGGAAATGACGCAGCCGGTTGGTTGTGTGTAGTTAGATTTGATCTTGTGTTTGATTCACATTTTTCGGGTTAGATTTGACCTGGCACTCGTGCTCTAGGTGCGAACGAGGAGTCAAATAGATGGAACTAATTTACTTGTAGGAGCTCTTTTGGTTGGATGAAAACGCTTTCCGAAAACAGGAATCTCGGATTGACAACGCTGACACAGACCGCTGCAGAGATGCGGTTGTTCCAGTTAGGTTCGGGTTGATGAACGTCATTGTCTTAATTGGATTCGAGGCATCAATTTCAGCGAAATCAAATTTGAGTAAAAAGTCACAGGAAGCGAGTTTCCATCGAACATCAAAGTAAACCACATTCAGTTGGTAGACCGAGCGCTCTCAAGAACGTTCTGGGTGGAAAATTGCTTTCTAGTGCTTTGGGAGTTTTGAGGAAAATATCGGATCATAACTAACTGATATTTTACCATCCCATGTGATGGATCACATCGACACATCATCCATTGGGATAACAGTTTGTCAACTGACATTAATTGGGTCAAACATTGGCCGCACAAATTCATCTGTGCGCATCCGAAATTATTGCCAAACAGACGCTCCAGTGATCAATCAACGGAGACATCTCTTTTGGCTATAACGGCCCAACAGGAACATTTCGCCTACTCTCAACTATCCACTATTGTTAGTTCAGAGATGTCTATGGCTGTAATATGTTTGAATTCGTATATTGTGTGCCAAACACATACATTGATACTCTGTGCTCAAGGTTGCTGGGAAAAATTCTAACCTGAAAAATTCCATGATTGGACTGAAAATTGAACCCACCACTTTCGGCGAGATATGACTTTCTTATATAGAACACGCTCGCAATCGAATCTGGTCAGTCGTTTTCGCGGTGGCTGAGCCATTCAACATAGAATCATACTACCTCTGAACCAGTCTGCCGGGTGAATTTGAAACATATCCCAATGAACGTGCTTCACAAACTTTAACCCACGGCACAGGAACGAAGCGGCAATGCAATTAAAATTGTTTAACGTATGCTTATAGAATTAGAGTTTTGCATACAATTTGCATCGATCGACAGACGGCGAACAAGGGATATGACAGTTGCTGATGGCAGTGGCAATTTTTGCACCTCGTGGTTTTTGATTATTGCAGTGCGGTGCAGTTGAGTGCGTTACCGGTTGGCCAGAACAACTGCATTCTTTACGTACTGTATGGAGGGGGAGATTATCCTTTCGGTTGATGATGAGATGTTTTGGCACGTGCGTTTGACTAGGATCGATGGGTGCGCTTTTCAGGCTCGTTGACTTTCACGGAATAACAAGTGGATTAGATTCAGAATAGTGGAATGATCATGATGACCTGTTCGAACATTTGAAACATTATAAGGTCAGGCAAGGCCTTCCGATAGCCTCGTCAAGAGGCATTCCAAACTGGGGGCGGAGGGTTTAACGTTTGGACCTACTAAGCTAAACCTGCTCTTTGTTTCCATTTTTCAAGTGAATTTTTTTCACAAAATGGAAAATTTTCACAGGAGATGACTTCTAAGTTTATTTGCCTTTCTGTACGTACCGTAAGATTTGATATACAGAAACAAATTGATGAGATAGGGGAAATGGATGTAAGGTCGGTTAATTTGGGCCGATACATAATTTCAGCAATCGACTATTTTTCAATAGCACCAAATGATGCGTTCATCTAAATAATATTGATAAATAGCAGATTTTTAGCGATGGACCAAATCTTAGATCCATAGACCAACATTAGATCCATTTCCCTTATTGTTAAAAATCTAACACTGCTTCTTTACCCTAAACTCGGTCTACGGATTCTAAATTAGGCCTAATGCATTGAAACGCCATTTAAATGCCATTCTGATGACAAAATAACGCATTTTCGCACGGGATTTTTGGTTTATTCAATAGATAATAAAAAAAGCGAAAATTGATTAGAAGAAATTCTTGCTGAAATTTTCCATTCCCGAGATATTCGTTGTCATTCATATAAATTCAAGATTGTTTTACTTTTTCTAGCATCCTGGAGAAAACCTTACCTTAATTTGAAGTGTTTCTAGTTAATTGACAAAGTTATGTGGTATCCGGTAATTGCGAGAATTGTTTTGTACCTAGGGGAATTTACGTATTCTCGGCAACCTTAGCAGCGACCTTCTTTCTATAGCCTTTTTCTCTATGGAACGCACACATATGCAGTATTGGTTTGTTTACAATCTTTTGCTGCTCTAACAATTTCAGTCGAAATAATTGTCAAAAACTGTTTTGAAACGCTTTTACAAAGCTCCAATCTTTTCTAGTGAGAGCGAGTATTGTCGGCAACCAGTTTTTCTTTGGCAACCGTTCCATTTGAACTGCATGTAAATCTGCTGTTCTATTGAGTTCTCCAAGCAGGATCTCACGAATCCTACACTAATAATATAATTTTACACACACTAGCGTATACTGTCATGTGCACGGTAAGAATAAAACATCCATTTATGATTTAAAGTGAACCCATTGTCAATAAAAGTGGCACTACTAATTAATCAATAATTTATTATGTCAATTAAGTAGTAACTATTTGCTACTGTTAGCAGAAACTCATTGTTGTTAAAATAATGTACTCATTAATGAGTAAAGCCACTTTTATTAAAAACGGGTTAAATTTTAATCATAAAAGGGTATTTGACTGTTATCGTGCAAGCGTAGGGTTTGTTTTCGTTTTGTTGTTTATTTTTACTTTAGAATGACAGTTCTTACAGCAAACAAAAAATTTCTCACAGCTAACAAAAAAATTCATCTCACTAACACACGCAAATCTCACCAATACGAACCCGCCTGGAGAGGACTATTATCGGCAATTCGAAATCAGCTACAATTTGTAGTGCGTGTGTTTCATTTCAAGAAAACCCTGCTAGATTGCTTTTTCTCAGTGGTAAAAATATAGTCAAATTGAAGCTGAAAGCATAAAGAATCGTTTGCATGCATTCAGCGAAGTGTTTTCGTAAGAAAATCCAGTGAAAATAGTGTTTCAATTTGGGTTGCCGGAAATAGTCTGTCATGCCGAAGCCGTCATTTCCCCTACCACTTCAATACTGTTACGCATTTGACCACAAACGTAGCAACCAAACGTTACATTATTAAAGAGCCTTGGGGGTGATGTCGCGAGCAGCAAGGCGATGTTCAATGAAAATTAGCTCTTAAACAATTATAATTTATGGTGATAGTGAAAAGATCCATTTAGTGACCTTTTGAAAATTTATAAAGCATTAATTTTAACAGATTTGAAGAAACAATTCTCATCGGTTAGTGTATTAAGAATTATAATCAATCCGTTCAATCTTCTCCCAGTTGACGAGGACGACACTGACTCAGAGGGCAATGACGGAAGTCCTTTTGTTTTCAAAGGTCCTTCAAGGAAGCGATCCAAGAATGACTCGCAGAAAATTAAAAAAACTGACTCCCAAGCCCCCTTGGATAAATCAAGAGGTCACGGAAATAAACCGAAACCCAATCCACCGGGTTTTAAGCCTGTCGATTATGACAAAGAATTTCCGGGGCTTCCGGGAACATCTAAAACCCCAGATGTCCCAGTTTTGTAACCAGAACAGCAGAACGCCATGTTCACGCTTTCTGGAATTGTGGACAGCATTCTCGATCTGTTCAACATCACTGACCCTCTTCGGAGCATCATTAACATGATGCTTCCAATCGTGAAACCTTTTCTGAAGCAATTTGCTTCCAAGTGGCCCCTCCTTGCTTCATTCGTATCCTTCGATGGATAATTTTCCAAAAAATGATAAGGTATCTCTCCTTCAATGGAATTGTAGAAGCATTTTACCAAAACTAGACATATTCAAATTTTTACTGCATAACATACACTGTGATGCGTTTGCTCTCTGCGAAACATGGCTCTCTCCAGATGTTAACCTTTCTCTTCACGACTACAACATTATCCGTCTCGATCGTGCAGATTCGTACGGTGGGGTGCTCTTAGGGGTCAACAAACAACACTCATTCTACAGAATCGACCTTCCTCCAGTGTCAGGTATTGAAATTGTCGCATGTCAGGTGAATATTAGAGGTAAAACCTTCAGTATTACTTCGTTATACATCCCTCCGAGAACGGCTGTTTCTCGGCGAGCGCTATCTGACATCTGCTCAGTGCTACCTGTGCCGCGGTTGATCTTAGGGGATTTTAATTCCCACGGTACAGGCTGGGGAGAGCTGTACGATGACAACCGCTCAACCATCATCTATGACCTATGCGACGATTTCAATATGACCATTCTAAACACCGGTGAAGTAACTCGAATAGCCAAACCTCCAGCAAGAGAGAGCAGACTAGACTTGTCACTCTGTTCGAACTCACTATCATTGGATTGCATGTGGGAGGTAATCCATGACCCCTATGGTAGTGATCATTTGCCCATCAAAATTTCGATTTCCAACGGTTCATCTTCACAGTGTCCAATCAACATCACGTACGATCTCACGAGAAACATCAATTGGGAAGAATACGCGAACGCGGTCCGTGACGGTTCAGAATCGGTCGACGTTCTCTCTCCGTTGGATGAG